ACCTTTGATCTCTGGAATGTGAACAGAGGACAGTTATGGCAGCCTGTTCATTTCTGTGCAGATGGGCTGCTGTACCAGGCCTAATTTGAGGTCCAGTGACAAGTTGGGCCTTTGGCAGGTTTATCATCTGCCCAGCTTACCTGTGGGAGCTTTGGTGGAGGTGGCCTCTGACTTTATGCAGGAAGCCTGCAGGACGGTTGCCTTGAGAGCCAGTTTGGTGTAGCGGTTAGGTGCGCAGACTCTAACCGGGGAGAGCCGGGTTTGATTCCCCACTCCTCCACTTGCACCTGCTGGATGACCTTGGGCAAGCCATAGTTCTGCCAGAGCTGTCCTTGAAAAAGAGCAGTTTCTAACAGAGTTCTCTCAGCCCCGCCTGCCTCACAGGGTGTCTGTTGTGGGGAGGGGAAGGGAAAGGAGTTTGTACATAAGAACATAAGAGAAGCCAATGTTGGATCAAGCCAATGTTATTTCTTCAAGCTAAAGAGCCCCAAGCGCTTTAACCTTTTTTGATAGGGAAAGTGTTCCAACCCTCTTATCATTCTAGTTGCCCTTCCTCCTCCTCCTCCTCCTCCTCCTCCTCTTCTTGGCGGATTTCAGATTCTGTGTGAAGTCCACCTTGTCTGGTCATGTTCAGGAATTCATACCTGCCAGGGCAACCATGGGATTGTACCAGGTTGTTGCGAGCCTAGCACATGTTAGAAGACACATCCTGGATCAATTTTTTTTGTTCTGATAGTCTGGTTAAAAAGGGGTCTGAATGCAGATTATAATCATGGTTGGATCACTGCCTGTTAAAGGCTTGGAAGGTGGTATTTGCTTTCCCTGCTGCAGCAGTGGTGGACTAGTTAAGATGCAACACCCTCAGACTTATTTATCCAGTTGGTTTCCAGAATGCTCTGGGGCAGGGGTGTCGAACATAAGGCCCGGGGGCCAGAACCGGCCCGTCCAGGGCTCTTATGTGGCCCACGAGCAACTGGTGCAAGGGAGGGGGTGCTGGGGGGTGAGTGGGCGGAGCCACTCCATTGTGGCTTCAGCACGGCAGAACAACCACGTCTGCAGCAGTCAAGCAGCGTGGGAGCATCCGCCCAAGCACTGCACTGCTGCCTCCTTTATACAGTTTCCATTTCTGGTACCTGGCAGTATGTTTTATGGCACACATGGCCTTGCTGGACAAAGTGACATTTATGTTAGATCCAGCCCTTGTAACAAATGAGTTTGACACCTCTGGTGTAGGGCCTGGAAGAGGCGAGGGGAGGGCCTTAAACTTCGTCATGTTGTGGTGTTTGGGACGGGGCACCGAGTAAAAGGGGGACCTAAAACTGGAGTTTATGCAGGAGCAGCAGTAGTCATCCCTCCTGACTCCCCTGACTGCAGAATCCAATCCTATCCATGCTTACTCAGGAGTAAGCTTACTCCCAGGTAAGAGTGCAGAAGATTGTAGCCTTGGCTGTAAGCCCGTGCAGGCTTATTTGACCTTGGTTTGGCTTCCTTCTGAGTGAACGCATAGGATTGATCTGCAGATCACCTGAACCCAGCAGTGGATCATTGTCACTACTTGGTCTTTGTTTGCATTTATCACCGGGAGTGCTGCCGCTAGTGTGGTCTAAGGAACCAAGTCTCCCAGGGAGGGAATGCCCGATTGGCCTGAGAGCCACACTGACTGGCTGGGCCAGCTTGTTTCTTCAGGTCCCAGGCAGCTTCCAGGGATCGCGGTGCTTCTTATCCCGGATAAAGCACACCACATTTTGCCCCCGCTTTTGTGCTGCCCAACAGAGGAGTACATCTTAAATTCGAGATCAGAATTGCTGCTAGTTTCTTACTAAAAAGTTTTCCAAACCTTGTGGCCAGAAGTTTCAGTGATACTGAATTGCATTCTATTTTCTAAAGATCTTTCTTCCTGATCTGTTTCATAGAGAATGATTGTCTCCTGTTTTTGTTCCAGGAAATAAATGAATGCTTCCGATGCTGTAGTTTTTCCTTTCTGTAGGACAAGCTTCTGTTATTATTGTTTAACCGTTTTTCTCCCATTGACACTCCCAAGTAGAAACCGGGGCTGTGCGTGCCGTTCTCTCATGCTCCATTTCGCCCTCATGACAACCCTGTGAGTCAGGTTGGGCTTAGCGGGATAGCGATACATAATGAATCCAAAAGGAAATAAAAATTAAGTGTATAAAATGGGTTTCCTGTATTAATGCTGTGGTCTGATAAGTCTAGGATCTATCACTGTGTCATCTTTTGGTGGTGGGATCATATTTTACAGCTAGCCAATAGACAAGGCTGGCTGGCTACCAAGCCCAGCTGCAATCTGTAGACCATTCCACAAATCTCTCTCTCTCTCTCTCCCTCTGTCCATGGTGGTGGAGTGGGCTGTAGTAGAGCCGTTCCAGGCATACCCAAATTTACTCTTCTGCCCTTGACCGCTTCATCCGGCTTCAGGCCCAGTTATGGGATGAAGAAAACGTGGGTAGTGTGAGTGGATGATCTCGGTCAGGGGACCCCCAACCTTCCGGAGCCTGTGGGTGCGTTGGGGCTTCTGGCACAGGGTCGTGGGCGTGAGGACAAAACGGCTGCTTCAGGAGGGAGAGCCAACCACAAAATGTCAGGGAGTGAGATTATGAATAACTCTAACGTAGAAAGGGTTTAACTCTAAGGTAGAAAGCCTTTACAAATAAACAGATAGTTAATAAAATTTTTGTTTGCATACACACAGCATACCTTCACTCATGCAGGGAAGGCCCTTGTACTGTGATGGCAGCTACTGCCAAAGAAACGTTTTTAAA